TACGACTACTACTATTACTACTACTAATACTAATGAAATCATTAATACGGCTACTACTACTACTACTACTACTACTACTACTACTACTACTACGATTACTACTACTACTACTACTACTACTACTACTACTACTACTACTTCTACTAGTCCCACTACTTCTACGTATACGTATACGTATATGTATACGTATACTGTTACTGCTACTTATACTTATATGTCTACTTGTACCTCCATGTCTACGTATACCTCCCTTCCTGCTTACCTGCCTACCGATCTACCTGCCGACCTACCTACCGACCGACCCACCCACCCACCCACCCCTCCCCCCAAGCTGCCTCTCGACCCGCTCGGCCGGTCACGCCGAAACGGGAGCGGCGCGGGACGACCCTCTTGCCTCTCTTGGGCAAGGGCGTTCGGCTGCGACCGCGAGTCGGGGGGGGCGAAAGGGCAGGATAGCGACAATCAGCTCACGCAGCTGGCTTTCCTGGCGCCTCCTGGCGCTTGGAGGCGCCCGAGCATCGAGGGAGGGGCCTGGCGGCGGAGCGGAAACCAGCTGAGCGCAGCAGAATTCGTACCACCCCCTGTCCCGTGCCCCCCTGCGCGTCTGGCCCGAACGAGGGGAGGGCGCCTCCCCGGGAGCCACAGCGGCGGGCTCACTTCGCCTTCGGCAGCCTGTCCGAGCAGCCACGTCTGGGGGACCTGCATCCTTACAGCGGGTTCGTGCAGTGCCGCCCCCGGCGTTGTTCCCTGACACCGCGGGCACCGTTCAACCTCGTTTTTTTTTGTAACCTTGGAAGATCGGCCGCTTCCAAAACGTCAGACCGTTCAGCATGTTCCACCTCGAAAGTCGGCAGCGGAGTCGCCACCAGCCGACACGACACGAGCCTACCGTACAGACCCGATCGCAGCGACGATCTGTCGAGAGTGGCGCCGAGACCGATGGTCCCCCCGGGGTTGGGTGTCCCCCAGTCGCGGCTGGTCTGCCTCACGCCCAGCGCTCGGTTCAGCTTGGAGATGATCGCGCCGTTCGGGATTGCCTGCAGAACAGCGAGGGCTGTTCCCACGACCCCAACGGATAGAATGACCAAAACCAGCATAGAAAACAAATGTTGGGAAGTCCGTGCGGATTTCTTGGAGCGCGTCAGGGGCGGCGCCGCCAGGGGGGAGGCCTCCAGCGCAGATCCAAGAAATCCGCGCGGACCGTCGAAAGCTCATGTTCATGCAAATTGCTCTCCTTCGGGCGGAGGGGGGGGAGAGACCCACCAGACACCAACCGCCCGCAACCCCAGCCTCAACCCTGCGCTTATCCTGGGATGCCGTGGCCCCGCGGAGCTTCCCTCGGGGCAGCAGCAACCGGCGCCAGCACGAGCAAGCCCAGGTCGGTCGGCCACGGCCCAGGTCGGTGAGCACAAGCCCGTCCGGCCGCATGGTAGCTCTCAGATCAGGGTCAGCGGAGGGCAGAAAGTGGGAGATCGGCCCCACTCGGGCGGGCGGTGAGGGGGGGGGGGCCAAATGTAAGGAACCGAACTTTATACACCGATGCTTTTTCCGGTCCCCGCACTGAGATTCGCACGAGAAAGCGGATTATGGTGTATACGGCATCCTGGTGTGTATATTTGTTCGTTGTTTGCACGGGAAAACGGGGAAACAAGTATACACCACACCACCCCGACGTCGTCCCCGATCCTCAAAACTTCCTGGGATTGAACAACAGCCCGCCACTGGTAATGTATATGCTCCAGTTTCCGAAAATGGAGGTGAAGAGAAGGGCCCTAAAGGGTCACATTAGGGCATGTTTGGGAGCCAGCAGGGGCCCAAAAGGAGCCCTAGAGTGTCCCTCTAGGGATCTTCTCTTCACCCCCCATGTGGGCCACCCCCCATCAGCACCCGCCCGACCCACGTGGCCCCCAAGCCTGGGCCAGCCAGAGAGGACTGGCTGACCCCCGTTAGCGCTGACCCTGTTGCGTGAGCCCCGATTCCCCTACCGCCCCGCCTTGCCGGACTTGGACAGTAGGGGCTCGACCACAAGAAACCTTCCATACGAAATCCAACCCTGAGACCCCAGGACGTCCATTGATTTTTGGTGCGGGATCGCCACGTTATCCACAGCAAAGCCATCAAAACCCAAGAAACCCTGGGCACCCTGGAGGCAAACAGGGGGGTTCTTGGCATGGGTTTCCACTGTACCGCCCCGCCTTGCCGGACTCGTAGTCATTGATGACGGACGGCTTCTCGTTCACGGCCGCTGCGAGAGCAGCCTGGGTCAGCTTCTTGGCCAGCCTTGCCTGCTGCAGAGCCATCTTGAAGTCGTGCGACACGCCCTCGTGCCGAAAGGCCTCCGTGTTCTCGTCCAGCTTCTTGGCGTTGGGCACCTGCGCGTGCGCCGATCTGTTGCCGCCAGCGAGGGTCGGAGATCAAAGCAACGGCACCGACATGATTCCTCGGCGCTCCGCGCGACGCTCTTGGATCTGCGCCGGACCCCATCTCTCTGGCGCGCGGAGCGCGCCTGGGGGGCCAGAGGCGCCGCCAGGCGCCAGAGGGGCGCCTGGCGCAGATCCAGGAGAAGCCCGCGCAGCCATCCGAGAACTCATGCCTACGCAGCTGTGCTTCGTCTTCGCGAGGGCCCTCTTGGCCGTGTCCACCTCGTCGCCCGCGCGGCGCGCGGCGTTCACCACGGCCGTGCCGCGGGCCGCCCTGCCGGTGGGCCCGGCCTTGTGCCAGACCGTGGGCTCCCAGTCCTGCGCCGCCTGCAGCGACGGGCCACTGGGCATTCTGGCAGCGCGCGCCGGTCAGGGCAGAGGAGGTGGCTGCTACGAATCTCGGCAGCCCTGAAGGGCGTGGGCGGTTCAGCGGGTCAGCTCTTCCACCCTCCCTCTTGCACCGTGGGCGACTTGTTTCCCCTGCCCCCTCTCCCTGGGTCTAGAGCGGGGGGTCGCGACGAGTCGGAGCGCCCAAGATGGCTACAAGACAGCCGCAGATGGCCCAAGGTGGCCTCCAAGAGCGCATATGATAGCCCCATAAGATAGCCCAGGGTAGTTCAAGCTAGTTTCAAACATGCCTGCAAGAAGCCCCAAGAACGCCCCAAGACGGTTCCAACCCCGAGAGGCCCAAATCCATCCAAAACCTAAGGGGTCTCTCGCCAGTTCGCGTCCGATGGGTTCTTTGAGGCCTCAAGATGGCTTCAAGATGACGTAAGAAAGCCCCAAGAAGGGCCCAAGACCAACAGCCCCTTATGAGAGGCCCAGTAAAGGCCTCAGGAGGAAACTGTTCGGCCCCCTACGGGGGCATCGACACCCGTCTTTTGATAGATTACCTGAACGACCACCCTTCGGGTGATAAGGAAGTTGCGGGGGGGGGCGGAACCAACGTCTCATTCAATTGATCTCACCACCGAACTCACTAACTGTCGATCTCACTACTGGACACCACGGCGGAGCACCACGGCTGGACACAACGGCGGGACACCCCTGGCCACGTCGGCCCACCGGAAATGCGGTCTTCTGTCTGGCCCCACCCTAGCCACGGCGGGGTCACTCCTCTCGCCCGCCCAAGCAGCTTCGACTCGCCCGTACGCACGACACGATCCCGAAACCGAAACCGATTTCCTGGTGGGGGGCTCTCCGTTCCACTTCGATCTCACGCCCCCAACCCCCACCTCCGATCTTCAAGATGGCCTTACGAAGTCCACCAGGACCCCAAGAGGACCCCAAAAGAGCCTAAAGAGGGTCCCAAGAGAGTCCCAAGAGAGTCCCTCATGCTTCAGCCAGATTCCTGTCGAAGTGGCTCCAAGAAGCTCCTGGAGGTCTGGCTTCGCCATTCGTCGCCTCTCTGCTTCACTACATCTTTAATTACCTACGCCCCTCCTCCAGACATCTCCCATGGGCATGGGTACTGGATGGGCTGATACGCGAAGCGTCAAGAATCTTGTTTGCGGCACAGGACGGCTGCAGCAAGGACGGCCGCGGAGGCGGATGGGCGCGGCGGCAATGGTGGAGACGGCTGTACGAGCGGCCGACAGGACGACGGGCGCGGGCTTTTCCCCTCGAAGGTGGTAGTCATGCCTGGTGATCCTGTCCATCGCCAGGTTGTGGTCAAGTGGGAGCTGGGCAGGGCCAAGCAAGCACGCATTGCTCGTGGATCCGTTCCGTTTGCGGTACCAGACGCTCAGAAAGCACATGACCCGCACGCGAAACCTGTTAGATTCCACTAAAACCACGCGCGCGCTTCGCGCGCGCTTAGGTTCTGTCGAGTCACAGACCCAGGAATCGTGGAACCCCTCTCGGGCCCATCTTGGGGCTCTCTTGGGCCGCCTTTGGAGCCTCTTGGGGCGTCCTGGGTCTCTCGTGGGGGCTTCTTGGAGCTCTCTTGGCGCCTCCTGGAGCCTCTTGGGGCCGAAAGCTCGGAATTCTACAGTGGCTTTCTCCCTCTGGGACCCCTCTCGGGCACGCCTTGGGGCTCTCTTAGGCCATTTTGGAGTCCAATTTTGCCGTCCTGGGCGCCTCGTGAACCGTCTTGGAACTCTCTTGGGGGCCACCTAGGCCGTCTTGGGAGCCTCTTCGGACGTGTTGGACGCGGTGAAAACCCAACAGGCGACCATGCGAAAAGTATACGTTTTCCCATAGGAATGGGACCATTTTTGCTTCTTGGACCTCTCTTGGGGTGCCTCTCGGAACGTCTTGGGCTGATTTTGGAAGCCTTTTGGCGCCTCTGGGCGGCGTTTTGGCGCCTCCTGGGATGTGTTGGCCCGGAAGCTCGGAACTCGAGAGTGGCTTTCTCCTTCTGGGACCCCTCTCGAAGTCGTCTTGGGGTTCTCTTGGGCCGTCTTGGGGCCGTCCTGAGCCACTCGTGCGCAGCCTTGGAGCGCTCCCGGAGGCCTCCTAGGCCGTCTTGGAGGCCTCTTGGGCCGTCTTGGACGCGGTGAAAGCCCAAGATGCGAACATGCGAAAAATATACGTTTTCCCATAGGAATGGCACGATTTTTGTTTCTTGGACCTCTCTTGGGGTGCCTCTCGGAACGTCTTGGGGTGCTTTTGGGAGCCTTTTGGCGCCTCTTGGCGGCATTTTGGCGCCTCCTGGAGCCTCTTGGGCCGGAAGCTCGGAATTCGAGGTTGGCTTTCTCCGTCTGGGACCCCTCTCGAACTCGTCTTGGGGCTCTCTTGGGCCGTCTTGGGGCCGTCCTGAGCCACTCGTGCGCAGCCTTGGAGCGCTCCCGGAGGCCTCCTAGGCCGTCTTGGAGGCCTCTTGGGCCGTCTTGGACGCGGTGAAAGCCCAAGATGCGAACATGCGAAAAATATACGTTTTCCCATAGGAATGGCACGATTTTTGCTTCTTGGGCCTCTCTTGGGCTGCCTCTCGGAGCGTCTTGGAGGCTTCTGGGACCTTCTTGGTGTCATGACAGGCGTCTTGGAAGGCATCTGGAGCCATCGGAGCGCGTTCCGAAGCCGCCTGCGAACGATCTTGGACGGCGTCCGGCGGCCCGACGAGCCTCCGGGCCCCCCGGGGCCCACATTTGTGGTCGAGGTCCCGGCCCCGGGCCCCCGGACCCGGTGCGCCGTTATATGTATAAATGGAACGCAAACTCCAATCAGCGACGCACATTGGATCTGCTGTCCTGGCAAAAGTTCTGGCAAGAAGCGCACCTATTGCTGCACCGAGCGCTGTTTTGAGTACAGAGGTCCAGATATGGGGAAACCACAAGGTACGGATACTGATACTCCCCGGACCTTTCCTGGAGTGCGTCCTGACCAGAACTTCGAGGCGAATCCGGCGGTAGCGACAAAGGCCTCCCAGGAGGCCCAAAGAGGGGACAACGGGCGAAGGGTAGCAGTATGGGTACCTTTTCCTCCTCTGGGTACACACACCTGGGCCTCAGAGGGAGTGCTGGCTGGGCTGAGCGTGAACTCGCAGAGGACAATGGCCGCAACCAGCGGAAGCGCCCCTCACGGGACCGAGCAGGGGCGGGCTCCGAGGGGCGAGCAACGACGGCAGCCAGAGCCGGCATCGCCCAAGGCCCGCGGGCGAGAGCAGAGGCCGCGCGGCAGTGGCAAAACGAGCACACACTACGCAGTCCATGCGCAACGCAAGCATGCACGACGAAGATGCACCGGGCACTGGAAGGCCACGCCGACACTCTCCGAGCGGGGCGCAGCCAACGAAAGTGGCCAAGGGTGGGCCGAAGAGGAAGGATGCATAGAGTACCCAACAGCGAAATCAGCATCCACTGGTGACGGTCCGCGGGGATTTCTTGGATCTGCGCTGGACACCCTCCCTGGCGCGCGGAACGCGCCAGGGGCAGCGCCGGAGGTGCCGCCAAGGGGAGCCCGCGCAAATCCAAGAAATCCGCGCGGCATGCCGAAAGTTGATGATTATGTCTTTCTGTCTCGCTCGGGAAGAGAAAGCCACTGGAAGTCGCACTTTCCTTCCTATGCGTGACGACTGTACAGTAGGACCTCGACCACGAGAAACCTTCCGCAAGGAACTCAGCTTTGAGACCCCAGGACGTCCCTCGAGTGAACGTCGCGCTTTCCACAGCAAAACCATCGAAACCCAAGAAACCCAGGGCCCCCTGAAGGCAAGCAGGGTGTTGCTCGGAATGAGGAGGAGGAGGAGGAAGAGGAGGAGGAGGAGGAGGAGGAGGAGGAGGAGGAGGAGAAGGAGGAGGAGGAGGAGGGTGGAAGAAAAGGAAAAGGAGGAGGAGGAGGAGGAGGAGGAGGAGGAGGAGGAGGAGGAGGAGGAGGAGGAGGAGGGTGTTTCTTGGCATGGGTTTCCCCTGTATGCGCGTGGACTGCACTGCGCCGCGCAGGGGAGCTGTGACCAGGCGGGGAGGGAGCAAGGGCGGGGCTTCCCCTGCGGAGACGCCAGGGGCGAGCCTGGGCACGCACACCACGGGCACGCGGGGCCTGGCGCGGGTGGCCACGAGGGGGGGCGTCCACGAGGGGGGCGCAAATCATGCCCGGCGGCACGTGCGCGGCCCAAGGGGAGGGGGCCAGGGAAGTCCTGGAACAAGAAGGGGCGCAATGAGATCTGAGGAAACATCATGGCCCACGCCATGATGTCCACCACCCTCTCAAGAAGCCTAGAACTTTAGCTGTTTCTACTCTACTGCAATAGGGCTGCTGCCTCCCGGGAAGCCTCATCTAACGCTACAGCTTCTGCGTCGAATACTGTCACCGGAAGCTCCAGAAAAGTGCCGCGCACGACCAACGGCTCAAAGAAGTAATCGCCGTGTTCGCCGCCCTCGTTTGCCCCAGAGCCCGATGATGAAGGATGCTGCCGCGCAGTCTCCCTCTCGAAGCCCCCCGTCTGTCTGGATGACCACGTTGGCCTCGTCCACTTGTACCGTAGTCGGATATCTCTTGGTCCAAGTGCACCGCCTGTCCATCGTAAGGTTTGCCAAACCGTCGGCGATTTTGTTATGAACGCGCCTCCACCATTGCATGGGGTCTTGGTTGACGTGCGGTGGCAACCAACCGCGGCCCATGTGGTCAACGATTCTGTTCAACACGCGCGTGAGGAGCTGCTCGTACTTGGACTCGCGCAGCTCGGCATGTCCACATATGACGTCATGCAATATATGTGAATCCGTGGCGTGCAAGAAATGCTTATTTGCTGACGCCCAGTCGACATGGACCGCCACAGTGTCGAGCAATTCGTTCGGCTCAGGCTCCAAATTGTTGAAGATGACTTTCTCTTTCTCGGATTCCCAGTCTGTCCGTGCTCGTTTTAAGCTCCGCTCTGTGGTCTCATTGTCGCAAACGGGCACATGCCACTGCGAACAAATTATAGTTATATGACGTAGAGATACTGCCTTCCACTCTGGCCACGAAATGGTCTCGCGTAGGGCACGCCAGTGCAAGCCCATCACTTTGACGATCGGGTCCTCCCACGCCGGTCGAATTCCACCGCTCCGTTGAAGCATCCCTTCCGTTCGCCGTCGCTTTGCACTCATATCTTTCACGGTAGCCCAAACGACTCTTGAATTGTAGCCTCTTGCTAAAAAGAGCGGCGACAAAACCTCGTCAGCGCATGACGCGGGCTCGTGGTAGGCCGCCTTGTATAGAGAATCGAGCGCTGCAACATGAATCGGTTGATGGCCCGTTCGAGCCATCCATCGTTTGATTCTGCCTGCCGTCCTCTGCAAGTAGTCCAGGTACGTCTCGGCAGGTTTCCGCCGTAGCTTGAAAGCGCGCCGGAGGAACTTCAATTCCCAGCTGCATAGCTTGTGCGTGAGATCGGCGGTCTGATGCCACGTCTCCGCCCCGTGCAGGGCAGATGCCCGGGGTCCTCTGCACCATGCTGCAAGTTTGTCTTCAACCATGGATGGTGCGCAAAGGGGCCGTGAGTGGGCCCAGAAATAACCTTCGGTCTTGCTCAATCTAAAATCGATGCTCGTCGACGTGCTGCCAGACCTGTCAAGCATCTCCCCCAACACACTCATCCGGTCGATGACTGTGAAAACGAAGTGCGGCACTTGCGCACCACAGCGAACACCAGCCACATCCGCGCTCGGCGCATCACCTGTAGCCATGATCTGCAACGACGACTCCTTCCACGAGAACCCACCTGCGTAGATGACTTCCGTGACCTCTGCCATCATGCGTTCAAGAGCCTCCCTGGAGTCGGCGAGTAGCCAGATATTGTCACGCCATATCAGATGAGATATCGGAGCCCCGTTCGACACCGAACAACCCAACCCGCGGGATCTCCAAGAGACAACCGTGTCATGTAGGAGGTACTCTATCATGATATTGAACAAGTCTGGGGTGTCCACTCCGCCCTGCTTGCCTCCTTTCGTGAACGGAAACAAATCTGTCAAGTCGCACCCTTCCAAAGAGATGCGCGCTTGGAGATCGCGGAGCTCCTGGAACACATTGAACATCGTCATGGGATGTACTTTTCTCCATCGCATTGCCCTCGCGAGAACACCATGCAGCATATCATCGAAAGCAATGCGAATATCTAACGATGCCAAAAAGACGGAGATGCCCTGAAAAACCGTCGCGTTGTGGAGAAATTGTCGAATAGTGCCGGTTACGCGCGTCGTCCTCCGGCCTGGCTTGAATCCAAAAGTGGACACGCATGACGGCTTCACTTGTGAGCGCAGCTGTTCCCGTAGAGAGAGCTGGTACCACTTCTGGCTGACAGCCTGCTTAGCAATCCAGCGCAAACTCTCGTCGAAAGTAAATGGCCATGTAGCGTCGGGCTTCGGAATGCCAACATATTCCAAAATCTTCCATGATGGAGGGCATGCGTGCGATCGATCTTGTTGCCGCTGACGGAAGCAATTCCAGTAGAATAAGCATGTTGTAAATGGCAATGCTTTGTAGACCTCTGGTAGGATATCGTCCACGCCCGCAGCCTTTCCAGCACGTAGAGCGGCCCGTCCCTGCAAGACTCGGAACAGGGTCAAAGGAGGACAAGACCTGCCATCCAAAATTGCGTTGCTGCCTTCACTGTATAACTGGTGGATGCGCCCATCCTGTGCTGCGTAATTGTATAACTGGTGGATGCGCCCGCCCTCAATCATCACCCCCCTCTTGGCCGCCCCCGAACTCGGCGAGGGTGGCCACCGGTGCCAGGGCCGCCCGGGGGCAGCGGAGCCTCGGGGCTTCGTGGACGGGGGCACAGCTCAACGGGGGCTCAGGCTTTTCCATACCCAGACCCCCTCCGAACCTGCAGGGCGGGCCATTTCCCAAATCCGTGCTTCGGTGCGGATCGTCTGCGCGCCTCGTCTCCGTCGTCGTTGTCGTCGGCGTCGTCGTGGTCGTGGTGCGTCTTGCTCTGTTCGGGACTTGCTTCCCTTATGCAGTGACCACCACCACCACGCATACCCCCTCGAGTAATGAGAAAATCACGACGGAAGGTTTTCTATTTGCTGGGCCTCCAGAGGCCCTCGCCAGGCCTCGGGACCATCAAGAAACGACTCAGGATGAAGAACTGGCCCTGGGGAATGAGTCGAGACCTCTGGGGGTCGACCTCAAGAAAATATCATGACGTCGGGGGTCTGGGTATGCAATATGCCCCCGTTTACTGTGCTCCCGTCTGAGGCGCCCAGGGCCCCCTAAGACGGGGGCATAGCCAGACGTGGACATCGGCGTTCCCCGTGCCCCCGATTGCTGCAGCCCCGTCTCTGGCCCCCTGGGAGCCAGGTATAGGGGTCGGCAGGGGACAGCTGAGGGGGCACCGGCCTCGTGCGAGGCTAACCTGCTCCCGACGTGGAGAGGACATGACACGCGAGTGACAGGACACACGGCTGCCTGTGACTTTTGCAGGTTCGGCGCACGAATCAGACCCGACTGTAGCAAGGGCCAGAATAGCAGGCGCATCGCCCGGTGGGCCAGGTGCAAGCTGGTAGGGAGTCAGGGGGTTAGGGTTAGGTCGGGCATGTCCCCCTACAGGCGGAATTTGGGAGAAAACCTACCCCACAAAAGTCAAAAATGGTCTTCAAAAAAAGAATCAAAGAAATCGTCCCAGAACTATTTTTTGACTATTTTTGACAATGCCTCCTGTAGAGAGACATGCCCGACTTCAGGTTGGGGAGTAGTCAGCGCTGGGGCAACCCAGGACTGGTGGTGCAAGCACCTCCTGCTTCGCCCTCCACCCCGACTCCCCATCCCCCTCCTCCGCACCTTCCCTCTCCTCCTCCTCCCACAATGCGGACCTCCAATCTCCCTGGCCAGAGCAGATTCCCCCACGCAGGTCTACGGAACGGCCCGGGAGCCGAAGCCCCTCCCTAGCCACCAGAGGTGCACCTCATGCGCGCGGGCTGCTAGTACTTCCCCCAGTCCGTGCATCCATGACCTGCTCCAATCGGTTACGTCTGGGGAACCCATCGTATTGACGATCTCTCTCGAAATGGGTGCCGAAGCAGAAGTACCACATCTCCTCCAGCTGTGGCTCTGTCGTCTCCTGTCCACTTTCCCGACCCCTCCCCTCGAAACCGCCAGCGCTAATCTGCTGTAACCTTCCGTGCCGCAGCAGCGTCAGCATAATAAACAGCAGCAGAAGCAGCAACATCATCAGCAACTACACCATCGTAATCGTCAGCTCCTTCTTCGCCGCACTCAATACTACAGTCACGCCAAAACGCCGTGCTCACCTGCATCATCATCGTTCATCGCTGTCACCATCACCATTATCATGGGACGCCCAAGGACATAGTGCGTCCGACCCGAACATATAGTAGCATCATCTTGTAGTATATCGTCGACCCCGGATCGGTATGGCCAGAAAGCGTCGACCCCGGAGCTTACACTAGAAGATTTCTCGGCGCCCGGGGGGGGGGGGGCGACGCACAAATGATATCAGCAAGTTGGGGTGACGCCGATTCGCATCACCACCACCATGGGAAACAGCGCAACCCCTCCCTCCTCTGATGGGCCGATTTGCCACCACCACTACCATAGGTAAGAGGGGGAGGAGGAGGAGGAGGAGGAGGAGGAGGAGGAGGAGGAGGAGGAGGAGGAGGAGGAGGAGAAGGAGGAGGAGGAAGACCTCCTCATGCTCCCTTCTCCCCTGTCCTAGGTTTGGTAATGGTAGTGGAAAATTGGCCCATCATCCTTCCCCGACCGGGCTTCTCCGGCAGGACCGCGTTGAGGAGCACCGGGGGCAGGGTGACGGCGAGGAGGAAGTTGAAGATGATCAGCGGCATGGACTGCGAAACCATCCAACTCCTCCTCATCCTCCTCCTCCTCCTCCTCCTCCTTTGAGGCTCTGAGGTAGAAGCGGCAAGAACTGAGTAGGCATAAAAAGGACCCCTAACCCTTTGGGAGGCGACCTAAGCTAGGAGGGCCAGGAACATTAGGGATAGGGGGTCAGGGGGTCACTTCTGCGGATGTATCGCCCAGAATGATTATCCCTAATGCGAAGACGGGGACCTCAGTGAGGCAACGTCTTCATCGTGTTTTTAGGGTTAGGGGCTCTTTGTGCTCGATGACGTGCGGTAGAGGAGGCAAGAACTCCATCAGCCGACGCTGTCGGAGGTTGGCGCGGATTTCCTGGATTGGCGTTGGGCCCCCATCCGAGGCGCGCAGAGCGCGCGAGAGGCGGCGCCGGAGGCACCACCACGGGGGCCGCGCGGGCCGACACGTCATGCTTATGCTGACGGCCCATCCCGGCTGCCTCCTAACCCCCAGGAGGAGGAGGAGGAGGAGGAGGAGGAGGAGGAGGGAAGAAAAGGGGAGGAGGAGGAGGAGGAGGAGGAAGAGGAGGAGGAGGAGCAGCAGCAGCAGCAGGAGGAGAAGGAGGAGGAGGAGGAGGAGCAGGAGGCGAAGGGACAGGAGGAGGAGGGGGAGGCGGCGGCGGACGATGGCAGTGTCGTTTAGACGTGCTCACGCCGCTCTCTTGAGAGCCCTTGGGAGCCAAGAAGGAAAGGGAGAGGGAGAGGGAGAGGGAAGAGAGGAGGAGGAAGAGGAGGAGAAGGCGGAGGAGGAGGAGGCGGAGGGAAGCAGGAGGAGGAGCAGGAGGGAAACAGAAGGGAAGCAGAAGGAGGAGGAGGAGGAGGAGGAAGAGGAGGGAAGGACCAGGGGGCGACAGGGGAGGAGAAGGAGGAGGAACACCACCCAAAAGGACACCTGTAGCTGCGTCGGAATAGATTCGATGAGGGAGATGGGGACACACGATCAGACGCTCACTGTAGCCTCACGCCGTAACCCGCCTCCGCGGCGGCACGTGGTCACGGCGCGCAGGAGAACGGGGACACGGCCTGCCAGGAAGGGGGCAAGGGGAAGAGGGGGGAGGCTTCTCCTTCATCCTCATCCTCGATTTCCTTCCTCCCAACATCGGGGTTCCTGGAAGCCCCCTAAGGATGCCCTCTGGAGACTCCCCCGAGGCACCCAGAATCCCCCGAGAGGCCTCCCGAGGGAGCCAAGTGGCCAGCTCTGAAGGCCCTGGGCACGCAAAAGCGCCAGCGTTCCCCGAGCTTCCACCGTTCCCCGCTGGTTAAAAACGAACAGCCTTAAAATGAATGAATGGTAGTGTTGTTGTTGGTGTTGGTGTTGCTGCTGCTGCTGTTATCGCTGCTGTTGGTGGTGTTGTTGGTGCTGGTGTTGGTGTTGGTGTCGGTGTTGTTGTTGCTGCTGTTGTTGGTAGTTCGTTGTTGGCTGTTGGTTGTTGATTGATGGTTGTTGTTGTTGAGTCCCACCAGCCCTCTGGGCGTCGGTGGTTTAGAGCGTTTCCTCTTCCACCCCTCCTTCTTCCCCTTCGGGGAGGGGTTTACCCCTCCCCCTACCCCCTCCCCACTGACCTGGACAGGGGGTTCCGCGGCGCGTTGGAGCGTCCAAGATCGACCCCTGGGAGGGCTAAAATTCGACACCTCTCACGAGGATCGTGGCTCCTGAGGGGGGGACTGTAATTAGGGAACCCCCCTTCGTTGATCGATCTCCTCCAAGATGGCTCCGAGGCCCCCCAAGAGGCCCCCAGGAGGCCCCCAAGAGACCCCCAAGAGGCCCCAAGAGACCCCCCAGAGGCACCCAAGAAGCGCCCAGGAGGCCCCAAGAAGCGCCCAGGAGGCCCCCAAAGGCCCCAAGATGGCCCCAAGAGGCCCCAAGAGGCCCCCAGGAGGCCCCAAAGAGGATCCCGAACGGCCCACAGAGGCCCCCCCGAGGCACCCAAGACGCCGAAAAGCCCCTCAGGACGACCCTCTACTCGCCTGGGCGTCGTTTCTGGACGGGCTGGTGGGGATACTTTTTTTTTACAGCCGCAGGCGGAAGCGCCAGCGGCGAACAGTGGGCTGGTGGGGATACGCGAAGCGTCTAGAATTTGAAATTGTTGTTGTTGGTTGTTGGTTGCTGGTTGTTGGTTGTCGGCTGTTGCTGCTGAAGAAGAAAAAGAATTCTCCTTTCTTAAAAAAGGAAATTTTGCTGCTCCCCCTCTCCGGTAATCTTGTGGCTTTTCAATTAAAATGTTTCTCCTGGGGCGCGAACCCAGTTTGTTACAAGGGAAAATGAAGGGTCACCAAACTGTGTTGTCGGGCCCCGTTTTGCAACAACAACGGCTCCCGCCGCATATTTCCTCACAAGTTATTCCCAAATCGCACTCTCGCGAGGGGCTTCCTCACAAATTATTCAGGAGTTGTGCTCTCGTGTGGGACTTCCCCGCAATTTATTCAGACGCCGCGCCCTGGACACTCAGGAATAACGCTCCAGCTGTGGATTTCCTCGCAAGCAATTTTGGAACCGTGCTAATATCGCTCGAGAATTCCTCGCGATTTACTCAAGACGCACGCTTCAGCAACCCGCCTGCCCCTTGTCCATTCCTTCCATCCGTCCTCTCTTTCCCTGCCTCAGGGGCCGCAGGAAATACATGTTGCAGATATACCCCTACGGGGGTACGATTGAAGTCGAAGAGGGCCGATATCGACGGTTTGGGATGTACGTGCTGAATGGCAAGCGAACAGGAAGAAAGAGCGAAAAGTCTTAAACTGATTGTTGTTGTTGGTGGTGGTGGTGTTGGTGATGGTGGTGGTGGTGGTTGTTTGTTGTTGTCGTCGTCCCGCCCGCGACCTGGCCCGCGACCCACCCGCGACCCACCGCGCGACCCGCATGCGACCCACCCGCGACCCACACGAGACCCACCCCGCGACCCCCCGCCCACGAACCGCCCGCGACCCACCCGCGACCCACCCGAGCTTGAGCTTCACTTGAGCTCCGTTCTGCAAGGGGGGGGGCCCCCGTGCTGGGCTTTCTCCAGTGGGGGCCCAGAGGGGGAGGGCACCCCCGCACTGCGCTTTGGACGCCGGAGGGGTCTGCTAGGGGACCCTGGAGGGGGGTCCCCCCGTGCTGCAGCTTTCTCCGCGGGACGCTACTGCTGCAGGGTCTCCGCGGGGCGGGGCCGCGGATCTGGACTCCAGGCCCCCGCGCCCAGACCCTGGACACTTGCACACCTCCCCTCCTAGACGCCGAGCCCCCCCTCGTGGACACTTCCAGACCTCCCCTCCTGAACCCTGGACCTTCCCTTCCTGGACCTCGCGCAAGACTCCGGACCCCCTCCCTGGACCCGGGACTGCACGGTTTCCCCCGGGGCCGTAGGCGACCCGAGGAGGAGGAGGAGGAGGAGGAGTTCCCTCCTGGAGTTCCCTGGCGTGCCCCTCTTGGGCCCCGCTTCGGGTCCAGGGTCCGAGCTCGGGGTCGGGGGCTGCTCGGGGTTTGCCCGGTGCTGCGCTCTCTCCAGCGAGGACGGGGCGCGAGAGGTCTGGGGTCGGGGGTACGTCCAAGCTGCCGATCCAGGAATCCAGGGTGCGGGATTCTGGGTCAGAGGCCTGGGGTCCGTCCAGGGTGCTCCATCAAGTATCGGGAGGTAGCGGTCGGGGGTCCTGGGTCGGAACAGAGGTCCAGGGTCCAGGGTCGGGCGTTTCACCTGAGACCTCCTCATCATTTACGACACTGGAGCTTCAAGACAAGCAGCAGTTTCACAGATGGAGGACGGGTCATTTTCAAAAAGTGGCTCTCGCCTTAGCGCCGCGCACATTCGTTCGAAAATTTGCATTGGTTTCACGGATTGAGGGCGACCCGTTTTCAAAATGTGGCTCTCGCCATAGCGCGGCGCAAATCCGTGTGAAAAAATACAAAAATTTCACGGATTGAGGGCGACCAGTGTTCCTATGAGGCTCTCGCCTGTGCGCCGCGCACATTCGTTCGGAAATTTGCAAGAGCTTCACGGATTGAGGGCGACCCGTTTTCGAAATGTGGCTCTCGCCGTAGCGCGGCGCACCTTCTTTTGACAAATTTGCAAGAATCTCACGGATTGAAGGCAACCAGTGTTCCAAATGTGGCTCTCGCCTCAGCGCTGCGCACATTCGTTCGAAAACTTCGCAAGAGGTTCACGCATTCCCATGATCCACGTACCACACGTGGTGTTTTGGAAGGACTCAGGATTATGAGGGCGCAACATTTGCGTTGATTCGCGGCGTTGTAGTCCCAAAAACGGCGTTCTGGTACGATTCCAGATCGTCAAGACGCAACAATCAGGTTTATCCGTGACGTTGAAATCCCGAACACAATGGTTAATGGTTCTCTTCCATCGGGGGGGGTCCCTCAGTGGAAATGGACCGTTGTATGGACCCTGTGAAGAGGGAACCTGGAAGGAGGGTTTATTCCAAAGTCATTGATGACCCTTGGGTTTACACTGGTCATCCTCCTCCTCCTCCTGCTCCTCCGCATCCTGCCTCTCTTCGTCCTCCTCCTCCTCCTCCTCCTCCTCCTCCTCCTCCTCCTCCTCCTCCTCCTCTTCCTCCTCTTGCTCCTCCTGCTCCTCCTGCTCCTGCTCCTGCTCCTGCTCCTCCTCATCCTCCTCTTTCTTTTCCTCCTCCTCTTCCTCTTCCTATTCCTCCTCCTCCTCCTCCTCCTCCTCCTCCTCCTCCTCCTCCTCCTCCTCCTCTTATTGTTCCTCCTCCTCTTCCTCTTATTATTATTCCCCTCCTCCTCCGCCTACTCCTATACTATCATTGGATTACTGTTTATATTAGTATAGTTAATACTGATATTGTGATTAGCAGTGTTATTGTCCGTATACTTCCTGAAGCAAGTATTAGCATTATTAGTATTACTACTACTAGTCTTATTCTCAATATTATTAGTCTATAAGACTGTGTTAGATTGATAGCATGACCATTATTGTGTATATGATTGGTATTCATGGTATGATTGGTGTTCGTACGAGTACTAGAAGTCGCAGTATTACTATTACTACGATGTCTCGTGGTATTACTAGTGTTATCAGTAGTCGTAGTAGTATGCCTAGTCTTCTTATTAGTATTGTTATTGCTCGTGACAGTGTTCTTAGCTGTCTTCGTAGTATTCTGAGTATGCTACTTACCCGTAATATGGCTCGTATTGCTAATTTATCAATGCCATTCGTACTATTCGTCGTCGGTTTAGTGATTTTCTTATTACTATGATTAATATAAGTTGTAAGCGTGATGGTACTAATACGGTCCCGTGTAGTATTATTATTCTTAGCATTCATATTAATAGTGTGATTCGCATTCTTCGTCATACTGGCATTACTACGAATAATACCATGCGCACGACTTGACAATTGTTTTATAGTATCATTATTATTCCTCCTCCTCCTCCTCTTCCTCCTCCTCCTCCTCCCTCCTTCCTCCTCCCCCTCCGTCCTCCCACCTCCCTCCTCCCCCTCCCCCCCCCTCCTCCTCCTCCTCCTCCTCCCTTCCTCCCTCCCTCCCTCCTCCTTCTTCTTCTTCCTCCCCCTCCTCCACCTCCTCCTCCTCCTCATCATCAGCAGCAAAATCATCCTCCTCCTTCTCCTCCAGCACTCATCCTTTCCGTTTCCTCGGCCGAGGAGCAGGAGGGGGAGGAGGAGAAGGAGGAGGAGGAGGAAGAGGAGGGGGAGGAGGAGGGTAAGCAGGAGGAGGAACTGAAGGAGGGCTCTATGCCTCCGAAGCGCTGGATGTGGACATGCTCTGCAAGGGTACCCCAGGCAAGGGCGGCCAAGCCTGAAGCAGCTGGCGCATCATCATGGTCCTCGGGACGCACACAACTTGGACGGCTTCTCAGAAGCCGGAAGCCGTCTCTGTCTTCGGAGGAGGCCCCGCAAACTTATCAAAAGGACAAAAGCCTTATGGGCGTTCTGACAAGCCCACCCACCCCATTAACTTCCCCGCTGGGTTCGCTGCCGAATTCCACTGCTTTGAGGCCACGACAGAAAATTGTAACCAGCCGTCCTGGAACCTTGCCTCGGCCGAACTCGCAGCCTCTCACCCGCCTCCCGCTGCAACGGTTGGCGGTGCGCAGAAGGGCGTAGGGGTGGGGGGAAGGCGTCTTAGAAGGAGGCTGTTACTGAGAAGCCTTCTCCCCAGGGTAGCCTTTTATCCCCATGTGGGTCTCTGTTGGCCAAAAAGAGGTTGCTTCTAAGATTTCCGACATGGGCGGGGGGGGGCGCATGTGGACAATGCCGCCAAGGCCTTCGGTGGAGTTCTGTCGGTGCAGGCAACGAAACGCTGTATTCTCGTACGTGGACGCATGTGGTCACGGCCACTGGGGCCTTCGGCGGGACTCCATATAGAGCCACGGAACGCTGTACTGGGTGGCACGGACGCATGTGATCACACCCACTGGGACCGTCGGTGGAGCTAGCTCCCTATACGCGGGCGCATGTAATCTCAGCCACTGGGGCCTTCGGTGGGGCCCCCTATGGTGCCACAAAAAGCTATGCTGGGCGGCGCGGATGCATGTCATCACACCCACTGGGGCACTCGGTGGGGCTCCATATGGAGCCACGAAGCGCTGTACGGTGTGGCGCAGACGCTTGTGATCACACCCACTGGGACCATCGGTGGAGCTAGCTCCCTATGGAACCACGAAACGCTGCACTGGGTGGCGCAGACGCGTGTCATCACAGCCATTGGGGGCATTCGGTGGGGCCTTCTATGGGGCCACAAAACGCTGTGCTGGGTGGCGCGGACGCATGTCATCACAACCACTGGGGCATTCGGTGGGGCTCCGAATGGAGCCACGATCGCTGTACTGGGTGGCGCGGACGCATGTGATCACAGCCGCGGTGGCGCTGACGCATGTGATCACCGCCACTGGGGTTTTTGGTGGAGCTCCCTATACGGCCACGAAACGCTGTGCTGGGTGGCGCGGACGCATGTGAGCACAGCAATTGGGGCCGCCGGTGGAGCTCCTTATGGGCACACGAAACGCTATATGTTCGGGCGCGGACGCATGTGATCACAGCCACTGTGGCCTTCGGTGGAGCTCCCTATGTGGCCACGAAGCGCTGAGTTTGGTGGCGCGGACGCCTGTCATCAAAGCCACTGGGGCATTCAACGGGGCTCCCACTGGGCGACGGCGCGCAGTCCTTGGCGGCACGGGCGCATGTGATCAGCCACTGGGGCCTTCGATGGAGCTCCCTATAGGGCCACGAAGCGCTCTGAAGGGTGGCGCGTGCGCATGTGAGCACCCCTATGGGTCCACGAATCGTTGCATTGTCGAGCGCTGACGCATGTGATCACACCCACTGGGGCCTTCGATGGAGCTCCGTATGGGGCCACAAAACGCTGTACCAGGTGGCGCGGACGCATGTGATCACACTCACTGGGGCCTTCGGTGGAGCTCCCTATGGGACCAAGAAGCGCTGCATTTTCGGGCGAAGACGCATGTGATAACAGCCACTGGGGCCATCGATGGAGCTCCCTACGGGGCCACGAAACGCTATATTTTCGTGCGCGGACGGATGTGATCCAAGCCACAAGGGCCGCCGGTGGAGTTCCCCATGGGGCCACGAAGCGCTGCATTCTCGTGCGCAGACGCATGTGAGCACAGCAATTGGGGCCTTCGGTGGAGCTCCCTATGGGGCCACGAAACGCTGTACCGGGTGCGGAGGGCAAAGGCAGGGATGGGAGGATGGGGGGAGGGGCGAGGAGGACGAGGAGGAGAATGGAGGAGCAGGAGGATGAGGAGAAACGCGGGGCGCTGTCTTTCCAAAACGAGGACCCAACACCACAGGATGGTTGGGAATAAATTTCGGTTGCTGGGAGAAGCCATACTTGCATCACGTGTTTAGGTATCAGTACCTGGTAGCGCGTTGGTTGATGATTGTCTCGGTGGAAGTGACTCTGAAAGCGAGCGGGTCTGAGTCCAAGTGGCTGCGGATGAACGATCCTGTGCAAGAGCGCCTGAACGTGAGAAGGGCGAGAACGAGATGAGCTGGAGCACGAACGGCCGAATACAAGGGCGTCTGGGTATGCGCGGACTTGAACGTTATCAGGTCGGAGTAGCAGTCACCGGGGGGGTGCCGCGGTGCGAGACCCTCGCCATCTGGGCGAGAACGGGCCCGAACCACATCTGCTGGCGTCTGCCCACTGGGTGGTCCTGATGCAATGCCTCCTGCATCGCTGCAGCTGGGCCTCCAAAGATCATCACAGAAGTCAGCCGAACTCATGACTGAACGATTCTGCAGTGGTCTCTGAAACTCTGGCTGGCTCTAACTCGAATGCCTAAACCCTCTTCGTGCTTCGCGGTTGATGGGAGGAGCGGCGCCGACTGCGCGCTGTGGAACTTCACTCTGACGGATGCTGGCCGGTGCCCGCCCTGAGGGCAGGCGCTGGGGCCAGGCGACTCGGACCGACACCCAAAACGAGCGTCTCTCGACAGGGAGTGGGGGACCCCTGTCCCCACGAACGCGCGGGACACTTCTACTGCGGCCAAGCGTGGGGAAGTGCTGCGTGGCAGACGCCGCGCGCTGCGCAACGCAGCCGCAGGAATGCTCGGTTGCCTGACCCAACACCTCTACGCGGGGCGATGCCCTCCCGACATCCCCCCGATCGCACTGGGCCGAGCCAGCCAGACGCGGCGGAGCTCCTTGGGTGCTCCGAAGCCATGCCTGCTAGATCGAGGTGAGGAAGTCTCAGTGCGAAATCTGAATACAAGTGAGTCCGAGTGAGAGAACCTAGTATCTAAGTGGGTCCGAATATGGGTGAGCCTGAGCATGAGAGAGTCTGAAACCAGTGTGTGGCTGTGGGAAGTCTGAGTGTGGCTGTTTGAATGATTTTGCATGTGAGCCAAATCCGACAGTGAGTAGATCCGAGCGTGTGAGTCCGAGCGTGCGTGAGTCGGAGTTAGTGCTCTGAATGTGAGTGGGCCTGAGCTCGGAAAATCACAATTACCAGTTCAAGTGTGATAGGTCTGAGTGTGGCAGGACGAAGGAAGGAGTTTGGTGTGTGAAGGGGCACAGCGGTGACACTGTCAACAAGAACCCGAGGTTCTTGTCACAACCGACAGGCACTGAGGTTTACACAGACGTTGTGGTGCAGATCGCCACCTACATGCTGGTGCCATCCGTCCTCCGCCATTCCGAGGCATTCCCAGGCGCCGCCGGCGCGAAGCGTGACGTCATCGACCCCCTCCACCCCCCCCAAATGATTGCCGTCATCGGCCCGGAATAAAAATAAAAATAAACAGGCTCCAGCCGCGTCCGCGCGCACGACGACGATGAGCGACGAGCGACGAGCCACGAGCCACGAGCCACGAGCGACGACGACGACGTCGTCGACGACTGCGGACGAGACTCTTTTGCGGATTCCTACGCGGACACCTACGCGGATCCCAATACGCACGGCGGCAGTGCCCGGAGCGCACTGGGGGGGGAGCGTTACGTCATAGGGGGGGGGGCGGGAGCCATGACGCCAGTCATGCCCCAAGCAATAAAGAAATGGTATCCTCCCACCTCGGACCCTGGGGAAGAGAAGCTGAAGAGGGGAGGGAAGCACGGAGGAAGGAAGAAGGAAAGAGCTAAGAACGGAGACGAGATGAGGAGCAGACACACGCAGCGCTGTGAGAGCCTCATCGCACGCAGCTCAGCCGTTGACAGGAAGATGCCTCACAGAACAGATCCCTACCATGCCAGATGCGGAAGGAAGGACAAGGGGAAGGAGGCGGAAAGACGGAGAAAAATTGAGGCGAGGCGCGCGCGAAGAGTTGCCCTCCAAGCTCAGAAGTACTCTGAAACCAAGCGAAAACACGACACCGACTCTGTCACCCCTGCGTCACTATTAATAACAAAACGGAACGTGCAAAAATTGGTCACAAACGTATCTGCTTCGAGCCGCAACCCCTTGCAGCGAGCATGAATGAATGTTCTGCAGGAAGAGGCTGCGGGCTGCCGCACTGTATCCATGACGTGGATGTTTGAGCATGCTGCTGATGAGCTTGATCACGCTTGTTCGATCGGCTGCAAGAACAGGCTGGAGCGCAAGCACTGTTGAAGTTTCATGTAGAACATGCTTCATGTTGATACGCCTAGGCCCAGTGCATGATGTCAAAGGATATGCTCGATACATGATACGTATCGAATTCAGTGAACATGGCTCGAGATTGTTCACTTGGTGTCTGAATGGAAGCGGGAATATGAGGACAACAGTATGAGGCAATGTAAAGGTGAGCCACGCCGCCTGAGGGGGCCAGGATGCTATTATATTCAAGGAGCAGACGAGGAATGGAGAAAAGCAAATGGAGAACGACTATGGGGGCGCTGCGAGGTTTGGACCCCCGGGTCCTGCCCGGCTGTATCTTCCAGCGCTTGACGTCAAAGAAAGCAGGCACGACCATCAGGGTGCCTCGGGCGCTAGTCCGCGTCAACGGGGCATATGGAAGCACCTAGCAGGAGAGCCCAGAATCGAATCGATCAATCGGATCGGCGATCGAAATGAATCGGATCGGCGGAAATCGGCAGCCGAGTCGGGAAAAGTCGAATCGGCGGAGATCGGCAGGCTAGTATGCCGCCAACAAGACATCGGAACCCAAAGCGGAATGCCAAGTCGAATCGAATCGGAACCGGAAGCCATCGACATCGAATCGAATCGAATCGGCGGAGTCGAAATGAGCCATGCCTAGTGGCCGAAACACCCATATCGCAAGCCAAACGTCCGAATGTTCTGACACATAGGCTACAAATCCAAGAGACCCGCACCGCAACTCCAATCTGCACCGCAGTCCCAGGCGTCGGATTCGGCACGTACACGCCCCACCCAGGGTGGCCAGGCGGACACGGAGGTCCGCAGGCCCTCTGCTGAACCTGAGATTATATATATATATATATATATATATATATATATATATATATTGAGATGTGTACATTTACATGCATATACATACACACATGCATATACATATATACATATATAGATATACACACACACAAACATATACATCGATATATAAATATATAACGTATATGTGCATACGGGGATCGCAGCTGCAAATAGAACTGGGTGAAACACTGCGCCGGCTGACAAGGGCAGGGGAGGAGGAGGAGGAGGAGGAGGAGGAGGACGGGGAAAGCACAGAAACTCGCATTCAGGAGCCCACCAGATCTTCTGGACAAGACCTGAACGACCCCACACGATTCTCGGCGGGATCCTAAAACGAGGGAGGCAAGGGGCAAGAAGGCAAGAAAGATAGCAACGACTCTGGCACAGACATGTGACTAGAAGGGTACGCTGATAGTTGATAGCGTCGGGGGAGGAGGACGCATTAATGACACGATGCCACGCCATTGGCTGGGATGGTTAGTTACACGATGTCAAGCCATTGGTTTGTGGGGGATGTCTCAACAATAATGTCAGTGCTTCGGTATTTGCTTCTTGATGCTCAGAGGGAACGACGATGACATCTGAAATGGCATCCTATCTCCAACCCCCCCTCGCACACACACGCACCATTCCTGCATGTCCCCCGAAGTGAGGCACATGTTCGTCGTTCAACTGCAGGCCAAAATTACACACCTCTCTTGGTCACCTACTCACGCGCAGATAAGCCGCGGGCCGGACGGGTGCAATAAAACATGCAATAGGTGGCCTCTCCTGTGCAAGAAATGGGCAGCAGACCAGGCTGCCGGTTTCAATAACAGATATCAGAGCAACTCAAAATCCCCAAAGTTAAATTTCCGAGCCGGCTTCGATAACATATACCAAGGGAAAAACGATTTCAGTAGCCTAACCCGCCCCGAATGTACTACAGCTTGCATGTAGGTCATGGGCTGCCCTGCTGGTCAACTCACCGCCCAAGAACACGGCTCACAGCAGGCCTACACACCGGTGCCGACAGCAGTGGCGAAAGCGCCCCGAACGGCGTCAAGACGAGAGCGGGCCCTGATAGGCACACAGATGCACACAGCTGCGATCGCGTCAACCACTGTCACGGCGCCTATGCCCCAGAAGACGATGATCCAGACCACGGCCTGGGGGGCACTGCGAGCGGCCTTCCCACATGAGCTCAGATAGCAGGAGCCACAATAGCAGGTGTCGGCACGTCCACGACCAAGATAAGCGTCCCGGAGCATCGATCCCAAGAAGACAACGCGAAGAAACTCTGAATAGATCAGTTGCGATATGCTGTAAATCGTTGTCGGAGCCTTGAAACGCCAAACCTGTATTTTGGCAACATGAGATAGCCCAACACTAACATTTAGGAAAGTTACCGAGTGGCACCCTCAACAAAGTCACTGATGCAAGATCACACGAGGGCCCCTCACACACGTGGAGAGTGCTCAATCTCCTACAGCATGCATAATGTTGTCGTGTCAGGTGTTCCGATCTGTATCCCGCAACTGTGGTGAAGCGAATCCTGACAGTAACAGGGTGTGAGAGGGCTCTGGCGGTGATTGCGTCCAACCTCAGACAATCGAAAAAAAACCTGGTTGGTCGTAACTCGAGCCCAAGGAAACTGGCGTGGACCAAACCAGCAACCCTAGAAGTTTCCCGGCGAATCGCGACTGGTAGAACGTGCTGACCCCAACACCTCAGAGTCTGTCCTCTAGTCGCTCCAGCCCCTTGGGTATTGTCAGATGTGTCCCCAGCTGTTTGCACCGTGTTGGAGACCCTGGGGCCCTCTGGGTCCCGCGAGGCGTGCTCTGCAGGCCATCTGGGCCTCCCCCGAAAAGCTGCGGCCACCTCGGGCCAGGGCCTCGTCTGACAGCGCCCAAAAACCCCTGCCAAAAGATATGTGCGGCGCACTGGAGCCAGACTGCAACTCTGTGCTGCGTGCTACGCGCCGCACGGCACACGTGCCCAGATCAACAACGTTGCCTACGAGCCTCCGTGGTTAACAGAAAGGAACGGAGGGACGACAGGGCCGGAGAAGAAAGAGGATCTTGCCGTATAGCAAATCAAACGACGCGCCGCACGGCACACGTGCCCAGATCAACAATGTGCCTACGAGCCTCCGTGGTAACAAAGAGGAGCAGAGGGACGACAGGGTCAGAGAAGAGAGAGGATCCTGCCACATAGCATATCGAATGACAATCGATCGAGAGTCAGCGCTCACGCAACGAAAGCTGTCGATCATTGATTGGTCGCTTCACAGTAGTGTTGGACTGAACGCCGAACTGTGGACAACGACCACGGTATCTGTCACATAACCACGGAGTAGACCCGGGTGACAAAAGAATAGTGAGTCTCGAGCTCTTGTGCCAAAGACGCCGGCACGTTGATTGACATGGACAGTGCAACTGCGCACATTCGGCTGCTTGAGACAAGTCAGATAGAATTGTCTTGGGAACTCATGATTGGACACTCAGCGTTCATGCTTCTAGCAGCGAAAACGTTTGAGCTTGAACAACTGTTGACGATGCTGGAGAAAAATGACGATGGTGAACTAGCAACGATGGTGAACTAGCACACTCGTCACGCCTTTGCCTCGGTAGTGCACATAGAGAGGCAACGCATGACTCATATCCACCACCGTGCCGCGGGCACTGCGAAAGCGTCCGCAGGTCCCTTCGAGCCCTCTGCATTGAGAACTGTAGGCGCTCTTCTGGGACGCCCGACAGGTGTACGAAAACAATGGCATGATGCCCAACAAGAAATCTTGTCCAAAACTGACAGCGGCCGCTATTGGGCAGCTAGCCGTCTGTCTCGAGCGGACAGTTCAGCATGAACAGGAAATAGAGGCCTCCTAAATGGGGTCCGAGTAGATGTGGTCGGAGGATTGCACCGCATCACCGATGCATCGCCGATGCATCGGCGTTGCATAAGCGACGCCGGCGACGCCTCGGCGACGTCGACGTTGAGAAAATCTGGCTCCACATCGAGCCGCATCGTCGATGTGTCGGCGATGCATCGGCGATGCAGCGCGATCCTCCGATCCAATCTAGAGTCAACCAGAATCACAAGGATGCGCGGTAAGGATGCAAGGGCCTTGGAGGACCCAGTTGGCGCTTTCGACTGAGGTTGGCCAGCAAAAATCGCCACGGATGGGCCGAAGGGGCGAGGATGAAAGGGCACCCTTGGGAGGGTTGACTATCATTACTAGGCGGATTGACTGCACGCCGACCGCATCAGGGAGGCCAAGAGGACGTGCTGTCGTCCGTTGTGCCCATGTCTTGCATATACCCATTTGGAGCGTACCACCGATCCTGCCGGGGGCCCAGACCCCGGCTGATGCCCCTGCACTCCTGGCGCCCTCTCCCGAGGCGCTCCCCGCGCAACTCTTCCACGGCCCCCCGGGAGCGCGGCCGCGGTCCTCCACCTCCAACATGCTCCAAGACTTCCCCAAGGGCCCAGGAGGGCCCCTGGACGGCCCAAGACGGCCCCAAGAGATATCCCAGAAACGTCCAGAGACGGCCCAGAGGGACCCCAAGACAGCCCCACAGAAGACCAAGACAGCCCCAAGAGGGCCCCAAATGAGCTCATCCTCGACATCATCACCATTTTGATGCTCCACGCCGCACTCGTCCACTACGATGCTCCTCCCCCTCCTCCTCCTCCTCCTCCTCCTCCTCCTCCTCCTCCTCCTCCCCCGCCTCCTCCTCCTCCTCCTCCTCCTCCTCCTCCTCCTCCTCCTCCTCTTCCTCCTCCTCCTCCTCCTCTTCCTCCTCCTCCTCATCCTCCCCTCCTCAGTATCGGTTTCTTCATCCTCCTACTCTGCCCCTGGACAACCTCACATGATCCAAGATACATCAAGGCGGCTGGGGTGTGATATGGGACGACTTTCTGACCGTTACTCCAACCGAAGCTAGAAGAGCATGATACGGCCTCCTGTCGCCCTTCGAACAATTGCCTTCAAGAGCGCTGGGCTTGAGTCGGTGACCGTAATTACTTGGCGCAAGCAATTGGATTATGTATACACGGCTGATCGGTCTTAGGAACAGCGCCGAGCACGATCGTATAGTTGGACTTGGGTCTTGGGAAGGGCAGAGGCTCAAGAGGCCCCCAAGACGGTCCTAAGAGGATCCCAGGAAACAAAAACACGAACCCACATTTGGAGTCTGGAGCCCTCCACCCCAAGATGTCACCCCTGGACCCCCTGCAGGACCCCAGACGGCCACAAAAGGCCCCCGAGAGGTCCCCAGGAAGCCCCAAGAAAGTCGAATGTTCACGGTGTGGACCCTTCCGGAAGGCACCACATGGCCCTCGGCTCAGCCCGCGGGCCACCCAGAAATATCCAAAAATCCTTCTCCCGACGGCTTCTTTACCTGCCAGGAAGGCCTCCAAAGCTGCCAACGTGGCCCAAGATGACCTCCAAGACGGTCCCAAGATGCCTACAAGACGGCCAACATGGCCAAAAGGAGCTTGCTTGTCTAGTATTTCCGAAAACGGTCGGCACCCCGGGGGGCCGGGGGGGGGCGCGGAAGGGTGACAGTAACTATTGGGCGGGGTGGGGCACGTCGGAGTGGGGGTGCGCTGCGGTCGCCACAGCATGCGCGCGAGCACCAGCATGTGGGGCCCCCCCCCTCCTACGTACGATTGTTACCGTGCGGGTAACGACCGTTGCGCTCCAGGGGACAACGAAAACAATTTCGAGAGGGCCCAAGATGCCAATCGGACGGCCCAAGATGACTCCAAGACGGTCAAAGAGATGCCCTCCAGACGGTTCAAGAGGCCTCCACGACGCCCCGAGAGGACTCCAAGAGGACTTCTGGGAGGCCAGAAACATTGGTTTCCGATTGGTCTTCCAGTTTTCATCGCGCTCTCGCCCATTCGGGCTTCCGACAGCCGAAGACAGCCCCAGAGGGTTCCAAGACAGCCCCAAGACGGCTCC